ACACAGGTAGCAGACAGACTTTAGCCCTGGCCTTTCATCCAAAGTGCTTGCTTGAATAGAAGCTATACAGCAGAAGATGAAATAATTTCAAAGCATTAAATCTAGAGGCAGCCGACACTTACCTCACGTCAACACCAACTGGTTACCATTGTGCTAGTAGTACTGTTAGTAAGAGACAGGCTACAATTAGAAATATTGACTTAGATCAGAGATAGGGAACCTATGGCCTTTCAGCTGTTAATGAACTACTACTTCCATCTGCCTTTAACATCAGGACCTTATCACACGGGGGAAATCCCATACAGGAATGGGATCTGAAAGATGGGGAAAACCTGCAAAGCGGGTAGATTTTCACACACAATGCTATTAAAGTGTGCTTAACCCAAACGGAAAGTTCTTTTTACTTTTGGGATTTTCTGAAAGAATAAAGAAGCGGCTTTTGACTACTTTCCATTCAGGTTAAGCACGCTTTAAAAGTGACGTTGTTTGAAAAATCTACCTGCTTTTGTGGGTTTTTTTTTCTATTTAAAACCCTGTTTTTGCACAAGATTTCCCCCGTGTGATAAAGTCCATAAGCCAGGTTGAGACAACCTCAGGAGGGCCACTAATGTAGAAGATCCTGATGGGGGACGGTAACTGAGCTCCATGTAAGCGATTCTGCTTCACTTCTGCCACTGTAAAGTGGAAAGATAAGACAGCAACTGAAAAGGAGATTGAGGTATGAAGGTTACCAGGACAGCCTGGCGTCTGGGAACCAGTTACCCCAGGCAAAAGGTTTCAGCTGCTATTATAGGAAGGCAAACTGTCAGGTACATATTACAACATTGGAAACTGAGTTGGATTTTCTGCTCCGGGTGTCCTAAAGAGTTAACAACAGAGGGAAGTTAAGTTTTTTAAAGGAGTTCTAATAACAGTAAATAAAGTCAACAGTAAAGTCAACAGTAAGATGTTATAAGAATTATCTTGAGAACTCACGTTAATCATAGGAAAGCAGAAACTGCAGCACAAATATTTGGGTTCCGCCTGTTACAGCAGGGATGGGAAAGTGCAATCTGTGGGTCACACGTAGACCTGGAATCCCTCCCTTTTTGAAGTCCTTCAAAGCCCCCCAGACCCTCCAAATTGGAAAGAGGCAATTTGTGAGCAATTTATGCACCCAAACTTTGTCAAAGGCAGCCCAGGCACACACAAAAGCTTGCCAGCCACAAAAATAAACCCCTCCAAATCCTTATTCACCTAAATTCTAGCCAAAATGGTGACTGAAAGTGACATTACACTATTTCCAAAAAAGTAGGGAGGAGCTGTCCACCCCCATTTTAGAACTACAGTTGTCCCTCCACATTCACTGGGGTTAAGGGTGAAGGACCATCTGTGAATGTAGGAAAACTTCAAATAGAAAACACTATCCTTTTTACATGATAAAACGCCACTCTAGGAATCTCCAGGTCTTCCAGTGCAATACTATGGTCAACATCTGCCAGAAAGTTGACCATAGAATCATGCTGGAGGACCTACAAATGCCTAGAGAAGTGTTTTATCTAGGAGCATCTAGGTTCTCCAACACAACTCTGTGGTCAACTTCTGGCAAAGTTGCGCTGGAGGACCTAGAGATTCCTAGAGAGAACATATTAATCAAATCTGCAAATAATCAAATTCGCAAAAGTCAAAGCCACAAATGTGGAGGGCCAGGTGTATAGCAATATGCATACAACTGTAATTAGCTGGGAGACACTCTCTGGCAAGGATGAGCATCCATATTCATGGAACGATGTGCATGATCTCCATGGTGCAATATCTGGTTGCTTCAAATTATCAATAAGGTGTTGAATGGATAAGGCATACTGTCCTCACTCTTGACTCCAGTGTGTGCTCTTTCAATTATACCTGCTCTTCTGTGTTATCACATTTGGGGAGGGGAAAGGGAAAGGTCTCTTGACAAAGAAATAGCCCCTTGTACACATGAATGGTTGATGTCCAAAGAATGCCGCTCTGACAGTTGAGGTGGAGCAGATTGGGACATTTGTTGTTATACAAATGGTGGGTGCTTCTCATGTCACACCTTTGGGCAGGTAACTACTCACACACAGAGTAGCCTATTTTATTACCTAAGATACAAGGCTATGAAATATGGGATGGAGGACTTCCCTTTCAAGAACAATAATTAGTCTGTCAGACATGGAAGGGAGTAGCGTATGGATATTTCTTCACTCTGTCCTGAGAAAAGATAGCTGGAGTCTGGACGCTAAGGTGTTATATTGTCACACTGGAATGGGGGAAAGAACAATTTTATTGTTGTATTTTTAATTGTTCGCTAGTTTAATTCTGTTTTAAGGGGTGGGAGGGTGGATTATGGGATGGGGGAATGCTTTAATTTGTTTGTTTTAAAATTGTTGTACCCCGCCCCGATTGCCATGCAGAGGGGTGGGCTATAAATAAAAAATTATTATTATTATTATTATTATTATTAGGCCTATAAACTTTCTCAAAGCATCTGTCAGGCCAGATGGTTTAATAGATGGACTGTCAGCCAGATCTGGAAAGGCAGCTAGTATGCTCTTTTTCTCCTTCTAAATGGGAAAACAGCAACAATGCAATGTTTGTTATGATCTCCTTTCCTTTTTCAAACTAACTGGATACAAATTGCCTACATAGAAATACATAAAGGCTTGAATCCCATTGTTAGTTTCAATTAGCGTAAACTCACTGGATTAGTTGAATTTCCCTATGTGTTGACTCACCATTTAGCAATTGATTTGATGGGATTACTTTAGTTGGGACTAACAGCAGGACTCAGGCCAAAATTTGTTTATAAATGCCGTATTTTAATCTATTAGCACATTATGTGACACAATTACAGCGAGTTACAGCAATTTATTATTTTTGTATGAATGGTTAACCTGAATGGTTTATACATATCTGCAAACAAGTGAAATGAACCATGAGAGCCAGTGTGGTGTAGTGGTTTGAGTGCTGGACTACGACTCTGGAGACCAGGGTTCGAATCCTTGCTTGGCCATGGAAACACAGTGGGTGATCTTGGCCAAGTCACACTTTCTCAGACTCAGAGGAAGGCCCCTAAACAAATTCTTCCAAGAAAATCCTATGATAGGGCCTTGGGATCGCCAGAAGTAAAAAATGGCTTGAAGGCACACAACAACAACAACATGACTGATGTGGGGTGCATTTGTACCTTTGTGCAGAAACGATCCATTTTATAAGCTCCCTCATTCAGTAGCATAAAATAAACACTTCTGCGTCTGCATACATACATACACATTGGCATTATTTCACCATTTTGTTAGCCACCTTGAAACTTATGTTAAATATATCATACACAAACAAACACTGTAATTTTTATATTGAGATAAAAGGTACATGTAACATCATGGTCTGGCGGTTTGAGTGGCGGACTAAAGCTCTGGAGAGCAGGGTTCGAATCCCTGCTTGGCCATGGAAGCCCACTGGGTGACCTTGGGCAAGTCACACTCTCTCAGCCTCAAGGAAAGGCAATGACAAATCTCCTCTGAACAAATCTTGCCAAGAAAACCCCATGATAGGATCGCCATAAGTCAGAAACGACTTGAAGGCATACAATATGCATACATAGAGGCACTTGAATGCCAATGTGGTATACCCACTGTGTGACCTTGGGCAAGTGACATTCTCTCAGCCTCAGCAAAACAATTTGAAGGCAAACAGCAGCTTAACATCACAGTTATATTCTTCTCCTTCTTTTTCCTTTTTCCATGCCCATAGTCACTGGGTCGGAAGGATCGCCATAAGTCGGAAATGACACAACACACACACACACCTGTCTTTTACATCTTAATGAACAAGTATCACCAATAACTTCATTGTTTACTTACAGCATTTTTGTTACCCAGAAGGCAATATTCACATAGGCCTAGGTCAGGGATGGGAATCATACACTATATAAGTTGGACTTCAGCTACCAAGAGCCCTAGCCAGCACAGTCAATGTGATAAAGGAGAGTTGCAATTCAACAATAGCAGGAGGGCTGCATGATTTCCATCCCTGGCCTAAATCCAACAGCTGGTTCCAACTAGAGAAGAACCACTAAATCAATGGGATTTCCATTAGTACTGACTTACCATTCAGCCACTGATTTACTCCAGTTGGTACTAACAACTGGATTTAGGCCACAGTGTGCATAGATCTATTTCATTTAAGAACTTTTCCTATCTCATCCTTACTATTATTAATTATAGTGCCATTCATTTACAACATTTACTGTACAGAAATAACACACAGACTTATTCATACTATACAAGACTTTTTAAAAACTGCACACTGTCCTTGCCATTTTGAGAAGAGAAGGTGCATTTGTGGGCATGTATATGTGTTTGTGTATGAATATATGCATGTGCTGTCCATATGCATGTGCAACATTTATGCTGCATGCATATACAGGTTGATTTTGGAACACCAAAATCCAAAATACTCCAAAATACAAAAGTTTTTTCATGGAAGATTGAGATAGTGACACCTTTATTTTCTGATGGTTCAGTATACACAAACTTTGTTTCATGGACAGAATTTTTAAAAAATATCATGTATAAAATTAACTTCAGGTTATGTGTACAAGGTATACATAAAACAGAAATGTTTTTTTGTGTTTAGACTTGAGTCTCATCTCCAAAGTATTTCATTAAGTATGAGATAACTATTCTGATATTCTAATATAAATATTCTAAAATCTGAAAAAGTCAAGAATATTCCTGATCATTTTGGATAAGGGAGACTCAACCTGTATTATGTTTACAGTACATGTTTCATTTTTAGCAACTGCAGAAGGTAGAAGCTGAAATGTTTTCCTCATTTTTGTTCTACTTGGTAACTGCTACAATCAATCAATAAATATGTGGGGTGTATATATGTATGTGTATAGATAGATAGATATACAATGTTACACACACATACAGCTTCACAACTGAAGAAGGCTCAAGCCAAAACAGTTTGGTCTGATATATATAACATATATATGCTTCACATACACATGTACATACATGTGTACTAATCGCTTCAATAAATGTGTGTTTATATATGTGTATGTCGGTGTCATATAACGTGTGCTAATTGTATGTCGGTGTCATATAACATGTGTGCTAATTGTATCAGTACATACATGGTGTCTGTTTGATACACACCTGTGTCTATATACGTCTATATCTATATATAAAACATGTATGTGCGTTGCTTCAATACATACATGTGTGTGTCTGTTTTAGATACATGTGCATCTACGTCATATATATGCATGCATGTATGTCATATATATTGCACATGCTTAAATCACTTCAATATACATGTGTATCTGCATGTCGTATGCATAACACATGAGAGTGTATGTCATATGTGTGCATCTGTTATATATACACAACATCTATGCATGTGTCTGCCACATATATACAATACA